TTGAACTTAATAAAAGCCCTGTAAGACATAAAATTGAATGAGTTTTTAACCTTTAAAAAAGATCTCCATTTCATTTTAATATATACCGTTTCTTACAGAAAGACTCATTGTTTTTGCTAATAACATTTAGATGTTGGCACATGCGTCTCTAATCTGTATGTATCTGATCAAATACAAAATTTTAAGCCACTAAAATTAGCAGTTAATTCATCTCTTTTTTATTTTTAAGACAAGGTCTCATGTAGTCAGCCCCAGCAGACCTGAAACTTGCTATGAAACTTAAGGCTGAGGATGGCCTTGAAATTCTAATCCTCCTGCCTCTACCTCTCAAGTGTTTTGATTACATGTGTGTGCTATCGTTATTTCAGCCCATTTTTATGCCGACTCTAACGCTTCATGCTATGGCTTGTACAGTGTCCACTAAATGTTTACTGAAATGGCAACTGAAAGTAAAAATGTAGCAGACTTACTAGTAAATATCTTCTGAAATAATGATATCAAATCTAGAACAAATTAAAGTTCATGAAAAATTAGGAAGGAAAAATCATCACACAGAAACTTACCGATCCGTTTGTAAAACATGGATAAGATGTTCCATAGCTTGGATTCCTACTTCCAAGCGGTATTTCTGCAAAGAATAAAGAAAAATATTATTAAAGTAACTAATACTCAACTTAAAAAACAATAATTTATAGACTGTTACAAACCTTAGATAATGATTTGAGAGCACGCACAGCATTTCTTCGGTCATCTAGTAAAGTAGATGAGGCTACTCGGTCACAAAGCTTTTGAATCTGTCGAAGAAAAATAAAACAGCATTACAAGAGAAGAAATCCTGAAGTTCTGCCCCTCCCCCAATTTATACCATCTAATTTTGAAAAATAAAATCAGCAAATGGGGTATTGAGGTAGTCTTCCACAAATCTAACAGTTTTGAGAGTATCATCTTATTATAGAAATCATTTTTCTTCCCTATAGACTTACAAAGTAGAAAGGAGTGACAAAAAATAAAAATAAGTCACAGAAGATGAGGAATTAAGAGAAATCAATGGGGGGCTGAAGATATGGCTATTCCTTCAGAAGACCTGGGTTCAGTTCCCAGGATCCACATGGCAGCTAACAACCAGTTCTAACTCCAGTTTCAGGGATTCGGATGCTTCTTTCTGTCCTCTGTGGGAATTGTACATATGAGTGTGCTTACATACATGCAGGCAAACATGCATACACAAAAAATAAAATAAAAAAAATTTAAAAATCATTGGTAGGATCAGAGCTTTATAAACTTGCCTATTAGGACTTTTTCAAAAAAGGGGTCAAATCCAGCAGCATGAAATAGGAGCTATTTAAAAAATCACAATAACATAATTTTACCACTATAATACCACTATCTAATTGCTACGAAAAACCAAAACTGGTCCTCTGCAAGAGCAGTCAGTGCTCTTAACTGCCGAGCCAGCTCTCCAACCCCCAGGATTTTTTTGTGTTTTGAGATAGGGTCTCCCTGTAGCCCCAGCTGGCCTGGAACTTTCTAGGTAGACCTGACTTCACAGAGATCTGCCTGCTTCTGCCTCCCAAGTGCTAGGACTAAAGGCATGTACCACCACTCCTAGCCAGTGAAAATATATGAAAATATCCAATAGGGAACAGTGTTAAAAACTACAGTTTTAGCCAGGTGTGGAGGCGCATGCCTTTAACCCCAGCACGCTGGAGCCAGAGGCAGGTGGATCTCTGTGTTCAAGACCAAACTGGTCTACACAGTGAGTTCTAGGCCAGCTGGGGCTACAGGGAAACCCTGTCTCAAAAAGATATATATATATCATCTATCTATCATCTATCAATGCACTCTTTAATGACAGTTATGGCAAAGATCCTATAAATGAAAATTTGGCCTATCACTCAAATGCTTACACGTGCTTTATCTGAATAGTATTTTAAAACATACAGTGTTTTTCACATTATATTTCTGCAACTTGCAGTGCCCCCCGCCCAGAAGATCTGAGATTTTCTATGATTTCTGAACAAGAAACAAGAGGTCATGTAAAATTCAATGGGTTTCTGCACTGTGGAATTTCTAAGAACCTTGGCTATGCTGATGTACACCGTTCTATGTTGCAGAGATAGTACTATCACTAAGCCTGGGCTTATTTTCTTATTCATTCTATCCACATTTAAAAATCACTCCTAGCTTAAATTGCATTTACCATCATAACGATATTGAGTTTTCAAAATGGAAAAAATTCAATTTTGTTAAATTGACTCTTTCTTTTCTTCTACTTAAAATTTTACTATTAGAAAAGCTCTTATCTCTAGAAAGCATGGACCTTATCATTCTCAGTTTAAATAGAACTTCAATTTCCTCCAAGTAGTTGAGTGTTATACCTCTTTCATCAGATTTTTGCAAAGGTAGCTGACTATGGATATGATGAATTGTTTGTCATTTCCTGCCACTTCTCAGCCCAAGACACGAAGTATTAAGATTCTAGATAAGGAATTTTTATCACTTTTTGAAGTACTTAGATCTAGTACCATGTAGGACTTAACCCTAGCTTCAGCTCCACTTCTGGTTGGACATGTGTCAAAACGCAAATTTTTCGGGGCTGGAGAGATGGTTCTTAATGAGCACTGGCTGCTCTTGCAGAGGATTGGGGTTCAAGTCCCAGCACTCACATGGTGACTAACAACCATTCATAACTCCAGTTCCAGGGGCTCTGAAGCCCTCTTCTGACCTCTGAGGGCACTGCACAATACGGGTGCACTTTACACACATGCAGGCAATACACTCATACAAATAAAATAAAAATATATTTTTTAAAAAATACAGATTTCTGGCAGTTTAGTGTTTCTAGACGTTGGGTTCAGCCATATTCAACATACCATGTGGAAGCCGTAGCCACACTTCTCGGGTGCCCCCTCCAGCCAGCCTTGCCACTCGGATGAAACCTATTCCTAGGCCAGCACCCCCTGTAGCTCAGCCTCCAGCAGCAGCCCCACCTTCTGCAATTAGCCCACCTCCTGAACCTTGGCAGCCAGGCCTGATGGCCCAAATGGCAAGCACTGCAGCTGGTGTGACTGTGGGCTCTGCAGTGGGGCACACACTGGGGCATGCCATCACTGGAGGCTTCAGTGGAGGTAGTAATGCTGAGCCTGCAAAGCCTGACATCACTTACCAGGAGCCTCAGGGAGCCCAGCTGATGGAGCAGCAGTCTGGTGGCCCTTGCCTTGAGGTCAGGTTCTGGAGAGTGCCCAGAAGCAGAGTGACATCAAACTCTGTGAGGGTTTCAATGAGGTGCTAAAGCAGTGCAGACTTGCAAATGGAGGGCTTCTCTAATCAAGAAGTTCTAGCTGAAGAACTGGAAAATTGGCTCTGCTGACCAACTTTAGTGTAAAAATGTAACTGATAGTGGTAGTGTGAACCAAGTAAACCTGGTTCTTAACAGCTCCATTGCTCAAGAATGGCTGTGGAAGAGTGTGCCCACAGGATAGTTCAGTGAGATGTGTGGAGTTGGGGGCTGGGCAAGTGTTTGGCCTTCTTAAACCAGTTGTATTATGTTTCATTTGTGAGTTAATTAAAATAAAGTGATTTTATTCCAAAAAAAACAAAAAACAAAAACAGATTTCTTTCATAGCCCTGCATGGTGGCACACATCTATAATCTCAGCACTTAGGAGTTAGAGGCAGGAGGATCAGGAGTTCAAAGTTAGCCATAAGACCCTATGCCAAAAGAAATTTCCATGCTTGGATGCTCTCTACTCATTGTTTGATGCTGATGAAGAAAAAGTTTTATCATCACTGAAGGATTATGGTCATAATCTTAAGAATTTGGGTGTCTGCTCTATTTTTATTTGTCTCCATTTTAAGAGTCAAGCAAACTAATGTTTGAGTATGTGGCCTTTGCAACTCCTCTTTTTGCTATTTAGAGGTCTTATTACTCCTAATGATATTCAGGATGACAGACTTCTAAGTGATCTCTTTACAAGGAAGTGTTATGTTACTCCTCTTTACAAACAACTATAACCAAATGAAAGAAAAACATATTACACACATTACAAATCCCATAGACTTGTCATGTTTTCATTAAAATACAAATCTGTATTTCTCAATTGATAACACTAAGCAAAATTTTTGTAGCACTAAGCATGCTTAGTTTCTATTTAGAAATTGCAGATCTCACAGACCATCACTCCATGTACTCCTCACTTGAGAACTAACTCACTGCTGGGTAACTGCTCATCTGGACTTCCTTTTGGATATGGGAAGCCGCTGTACACGTGGCTGTCCACACAGAATACTTCCTGAGAATTCCTTGCACCCTGATGTGAAGTGTGAACACATTCTGGCCAACTTTTAGGTTATGTTCTTTTTTAATTTTGGTCTTTTTGAGGGTCTCCTGGTAGCCCTAGTCCCAGCTGGCCTGGAACTAACTATGTAGCCCAGGCCTGCCTTGATCTCACAGAGATCTGCCTGCCTCTGCCTCTCAAGCGCTGGGATCAAAGATGTGTGCCACCACACCCAGTTTTCTTTGTTTTCAATAATTGCCACCTGAGATTCACAATTCCATTTAGCAAGTAAAAGGTGAAAAAGATAAATAACCCCACTAAGAACAGGCAAACTAAGAAGGCGTGGTGGAGCAGAGGTAGAAGTAGAGGTATCTCCAGGATTGAGGCCAGACTGGTCTACATAGTGAGATCAAGGCCACCTAGTCATACTGAGTTCCAGGTCAGCCGAGGCTAGAGGAAGACCCTTTCTCAAACAAAACAAAGACACTGACATAATACAGACTGCAGTATTTTCTATTTCTAATAAAACTTTTAAAATTTTGTTAGTATTTGGTAATTACCTGACATAAAAAATAAAGGAATAGCAATTAAAACTAGCCATTCAATCATTTATTCAGCAAGAATGTCTTAAACACCTATTAGCAACTTAATTTTATGATATTACACAAGTGTATCTTTCTAAAAGAGAATTTCTAATGAGAACTACCTATGGTAGGAATAAAAGAATTCATGCCAACCAACAATTCATTTATAATGTGTTAACAGTATAAAATATCAGTTATAGCTGGGCGTGGTGGTGCATGCCTTTAATCCCAGCTCTCAGGAGGCAGAGGCAGGTAGATCTCTGTGAGGTCGAGGCCAGCCTGGTCTACATAGCAAGTTCCAGGTCAGCTGGGGCTACAGGGAGACCCTGTCTCAAAATAAGCCCCCCCCCAAAAAAAATCAGTTATTAAACTGCAAAAAAAAAAGTCAGAGATGCGTTTCATATCCACCTCTTTAACCGAGAAGACTATAAAGAAAAATAAAAGCCAACCTAATCTTCAGATGACCTAAATTAGCATCACCTAAAAAAGGATGTGGGAACACTACAAACCGAAACAGGAACATCTATGTAGACAAATCCAACACAACCCATTTCTACTACAATACATACAAATCTGCCTGGGTACTTGACTACTTAATTTACTCTCCATGCTTTCTACAAATGAACTGGTTTTCAAAAAGACAACCTTTCGACAAGAGACTATCATGAAACTTGTCTACCAAACAGCCTATCACAAACTCCAGCATCTTAACATCTAACACTATAGGGTCAGTAAGATGGCTCAGTAGGTAAAGGTGCTTGCTGCCAAGTCCTGAGTTTGATCCCTGGAACTCACATGGTAGAAAGACAGAACCACTGTCCTCTGACATCCACACCTGCATGGTGGTGCCTGTAAACCATACTCTCACACACAGGTCATACACATACATGCCTCCCCCACCAATAAATATATGTAAAAACTAACGCTATAAAGG